TGCCAGTCACCCTATTAGGCACCAGAAATCCCAACACGAATGATACAAAGTATCTGACTGCAGAGCTGAGTCTCATGAAAAAGATAAACATGAAAGTTAATAAATACAACCCTTGAAAGGGTAAATAAACACAATAATGTTGGAGCCCAGGGAAAGATAGAATTAATATCAATTAACCATGGTTTCATTCTTATGCCCTTCTATAAACCTATTTTCTAGCATGGTACTAGGCACATACAGACACTTGATAAATGTGTGTTTGGATGGATGGATGGATGGATGGATGGATGGATGAATGGAAGGATGAATGAGTGGATGGATGGGTGGGTGAATGGATGAAAGGATGGAAAGAGTAAATAAGTGAGTGAATAAGTTAAAATAAATTGACAACTTAGGGGACAAAATGCAAGTCAGGCTATCTATTAAACACTTTTACAGAATCATGGACTTCATCTCACTGGTCTTAGCTCATTCTTACACAAACAACAATTTCTATTATTTGTTTTAGATTCATGCCTGTCTCCCCTAGTAGAATATAAGACCAACAAGAAGAGTAGGGGTCCTATCTGTTTTTGTTTCCTAGTGATAACTCCAACACCTAAGACCATGCTTGGCATGTAGAAGGTGCTAAGTAAATATTTGTTGGATTAGTAGAGAGAAACATGAATGTCTCACTAAAGGAGGTACTACACAAGAAAGAATATTTAGAAATATGCAGAGTATACAAAACAGAATTCTTCTTAAGAGCTCTGAAAATGTGCTTTTAAAAAGAAAATTTTTTTACTGCTGTATACATAGATACTATGATATGAGTGTAGTTCAATCACATTGGTCTCAGACAACCCCAGCTAAGTGGGGGTTAGAAAATGTCACTGTTGAAGTTTTAGGGAGCCCATAAGCAACACCCATTTCTTCTTTCTCCTACTTTAGAACCAACAAAGGTGATACACTGATAATTTTGGCATCAGTATTAACAGGTCCACTGAAAAATAAGCCATGCAATCTGTAACCCAAATAATTTATGACTCCTTCCTATCCCATAATAAACCTTGAGAAAGCCCATCTAAAGGAAGGATTGGCTGTGCAGGAAACATACACTTAAAGGAAGTGTCTCTTCATTGGATCTAATGCAGTGCAGAAAGTAAGAGATCATATCGGCAGAGTTTGGGGCCTTGAGAATCATGGACCAATGGACGTTACTCAGATAACTGAGGAAACTCACAAGAAATAATGGGTAGGATTAGAAGCCAAAGGGTTACTCTAAATCCCTACACATGGAAACTATGAAGCCAGAAAAGCGAGAGAGAGAGAGAGAGAGAGAGAGAGAGAGAGAGCCCCTCCAATGACAGGCAAACCTTTGGTAAGTGTCACTTTCCAAACATTAGGTCACAGCACAGTATATAGCAAATGAATGCATGAGATAGCAGAAAATGGAGTATGTTAAGTTTGCTTTCCCAGGTAGTGTAACTCATACAAATCACCATTCTTCCTTTCTGATAAATATCTGATACCTAATACATAATTTTTTCTTTGCAGGAGCTGTTGAATAATTTAAAATACAAAATTCAGCTCACAAAAACTGAGGACTGATGGATGTGGGGGAGAGGGGGGGATGGGCATGGAGGAGGGCACTTTGGGGATGAGCACTGAGTGTTATGTGGAAACTAATTTGACAATAAACTATTTGTAAAAAATAAATAAATAAATAAATAAAATAAAATACAAAATTCAGGGGTGCCTAGGTGGCTCAGTCGGTTAAGCATCCAACTTCAGCTCAGGTCATGATCTCACGGTTCATGGGTTCGGGCCCTGCATCAGGCTCTGTGCTGACAGCTCAGAGCCTAGAGCCTGCTTTCTGAAGCAGGCTTTCTGTGTCTCCCTGTCTCTCTGCCCCTCCCCTACTCACAATCTATCTGTCTGTCTGTCTCTCTCTCTCTTTCAAAAATAAATAAACATTAAAAAAATTTTAAAGCTAAAATACAAAAACCATATGCTCACACAATTCAAGAGGTTCTGATATTAAAATACCAAAGTAAAGATGATAGGAGTCCTAACATTTATGTTCCTGGTCTGCTTCCACTCACTGCTCTCTAGTCCCCTCCCAGTTACAACCCCCTTTCAAAACCACAAAAACCCACATCACATGCAATTGGCTGCAAAGGAGATGATTTAAGAAGCTCACGTGGAGAAACCTGAGGTGCTCCTGTCCATTGCTGAGCTCCCAGGAGATGACCAGCACCTGCTGCCAGTCATTTAATGGACCAACTTAGATATTCCAGCTCATACAACTGCTTCCTAGAGGATATCATAAGAGAACAGAAGAACAACCCCCGGAGACCTGTCAACACACGAAGTTGCTACAGATAAGAAAATGTTTGTTACTTTTCACCAGTAGACTTGGGAACAGTTTGTTACACAGTGGTGGTTGGAACCAGCCCCTTTCTGGCACCTGGGTTTCTGGAACAAAACTGTCATTGTTCTTATCATCCACTAGGGAAAGCTTCGCTTGCAACATCATTTGTTTAAATGATAATTTCTTGAGAAATGTTTCCTTTTGTTCTATTTTCACACTGAAAAGATAAAGCTAAAAAATTCTAAAGCAAAATGTAATTACTATACTGACTGGCCATTCCACAACAAGCTAATATATGAATATTATGTTTCAGATGGAAACTGTTAGGAATTACCTTCAATCCTTTAGTGAACAAAAACTTCCAAAGACTAGATGATGGTGAGTCTAGAATGCTGGCAGGAAATCAGGAACTTAGAAAGAAAATATCTTGTGGCCCTTGTCACAGCTTAAAACCCAATTTGGGCTAATGTCTGTAAATGGAGAGTAGCTATTAACAAATCAATTAATTAGGGTCTTGTTGGCTTTTCTAGCGTCAACTCTAATTATTTGTTTATCTGATCTGAGGTATCCTTAGATTATTTACTATCATTCCTGTCAATCAACAAAATAAATAAGGTTGAATCTTGCAAGTATGTGGAAATTAGAGAATAGCTTTTATCCTGTATGCTCAGACTCAGGCAAAATCTTCACAGCCTGACTCTTTTCCTCAAGACAAAGTTTCTTTATGAAGTTAACAAATGACTAACTTTCATAAAAAATTTTCAAAGAAGGCAATAATTAATTAATTTGTTTTTAAAAATCTCCTAGATCATGGACATTTGTTTAGAATCAAGAGTCAAGGGTACATATGTTCTATTTTCTTTTTCCAGCAGTTATCTTCTTGCATGGGGTAAGAAAAAGAAATCTATACTTCCAAGAGAAACTGAGGCAGAGGACAACTCTTCACTCTGTTCCACAGTAACGAACACCTAGTGACAGTACTCACAGTCTAAGAAAATCTCATTCTGTAATCATTTCACAAAAGTATATTTGTCTCTTATAAATGCATAAGTCAAGAATATTTTTCTTCATTCTACAGCTCAATCTCAACCTAATTCTATATCTGATCATTTTTATTCCACTTTATTATAAAAGAAAAGAATCTTTTTAGCCTGAGAAAAATGGAAAATTTCCTCTCTCAAGCAAGCTCAAGAGTGGTTCTTATAACAAAATAATTACCTAATTAAAGTGCTCATCTGAACCAGTTACCACAAATCCAATTAAATCAAGCTGCCAACAGGAATATATTATACCTGATAAGAAGGAGAGTTAGCAAATAGATAGACACAAAGCACGATCATGCTCTCTGTTAAAGAAGTTGTCTTTTCCTTTAAAAGATGCGGTAACTTCCTGATGAAAGAGTTTTTTAATACGTCAATGCAGTAAAAATGCTAAATATCTACATACTAATTCAAGAGATCAAGATTAGATATTTATTTTGTCAATGTTAGATATTTCATGAACCTCTAGCCACAGGTTCATGAAAATGAAAGGCATTGACTACTTTATCGTCAAACCACCTTGGTCCTTTTCCCTCTTGGGGGTGGGTTGCTGGCAGTAGTCATTCACAATGATTAAACATATGAACATATGAACAATGAAAAGAATGACAAATTGGGAATAAGGCAGAAATGATAGAACTTTCTGATCAAAGAAAGGTATATATCCAGTTCCTAATCAAAGAACCCTATTTTGGTTTTTTGGTTTTTTGTTTTTTTGTTTTTTTGAGTTTCATGATGTTATTTTATTAAGCTCATATCATTCTTTCTAAGGGCTGTAATATTGGGCTTTTTCTTCTCATTTCTATTTTTTTAATTTATTTATTTATTTTGAGAGAGAAAGAAAGAGTGCAAGCAACGGAGGGGCAGCAAGAGAGAGAATCCCAAGCAGACTCCACTCCCAGTATAAAGCCCGATGTGGGACTTGACGTGGTACTCCATCTCACAACCACTGACATCAAGACTTGAGCCAGTACCAAGAGTGGGATGCTTAACTGACCAAGCCACCCATGCACCCCTTCTCAATTCTACTTTTAATTTCATTTACTGTGTTTGTCTCTGCACTGAGAGGAACATCCAGGACACCCAGCATTTGTGCATGGCTATACCAGAGTTGCCGCTGTAGTGGAAGAAATAGAGAATGCTGGAAAACAGGATTTATTTATTTATTTATTTATTTTTTTAGATGCTGAACAATATTTTATTTATGCTGCCCAAAATGTCAGACCTTAAAAATCAGTCCTCATTTTCATCTTCAAGTTAAAAAAATAACCAATTTTTAATGGTACGTTATATATTACCCAGTTAATACACTCTATTCAGGACTCAAAGTACTGAAGAATATGGTTTTAATGACACAGTGACAAACAGCCAGTTAAGTGGTACAGTTTTAACATAAGTAAAAAGTAAATTCCTATCAAAATTTAATAACAAAATAAACATTATTTGCTTTTAAAATTGACTTAGAAGTTAATATACACTTAAAGGCAGTATCCATCAAAATGGTAGATCAATATTGAACAGATAATGAACAAAATCAATTATGACATTGGTACTTTTGGTTTGATTCAAAAGTTCTCTTGGATTGTCTCAGATAATATGACAGTCACCTAAAAATTCAGTTTAGTGTACTAGCTGCTTAAGACTACCTATAAGTTTTCACAGGTAGGGCAAATACACATTAAAATAGTAATACAGTGTCCTTTAGTTTAAATGTTGAGAATGTTGCAAACATGCAGAAGAATTAATTTTCATATATGTTCCTTTGGTTCACTAAACTTTCTTCTTTTTGGCACTGGCTCTTGACCAGAAGTATCAAAGTGATGAGGGACTGTTTTCCCAGATATCAGTTGATTTCTCTTCTGATTTTCTTTAGAAGATTTTACTGGTTGATTTCCATTAGCCATTTTATTCTGAAAGATTTTTCCACTTCTTGTTTTGCTTTCAGTTACCTCAAGTTCAGATGTTTTACTGACTAACTGTTCAACCTGAGAATGAGAAATTGAAAGATCTCGACTTTCCTTAGACCTCATAATTTCATCTTCCTCACAAACTAAACTTGGTTCTCCAAGTTCAGAAGATCCAGGGTTTTTTTTCTGCTTTTCCATTTTAGTTTCGATGTCAAAATCATCACTTAAATAATGCTCCTGTTCATCTTCTAGATCATCTTTGTCCATGAGAATTTTCCGAAGTGGTGTTTTTAATTGTTTTGGTGATAGAATAGCTGAATCAATATTTTCCATTCGTTCTTTTTCAGTAGTCACTTTTACTTTGAAAGTGTGAAAAGGTGTTGGAACTTCTCCCACATTTAAGTACATAGGCTCCCCTTCGAATATCACTCCTTCACAATCACCATCCTTAAAACCAGGAGGCTGGTAATCTGGGGGTGTAACTTCGTCATAGTAAAAAAGTTTCATGGTCAAACAAACATCATTAGGTAAAGGTCCCAGATTTTGCATTAGAATATAAATCTTGCGGATGAGAAGAATACTTGCTTTCTTGGTATCAGCAGATGACATGCTGGAATCACTGTTTTGGTTTTTACTTATGAAGTCCATGATTGGTCCATTATTAGTGTACTTGAACTTAAATTGGTAACATTCTGAAATTGTCTGAGGGTCTTCTGGATTGGTGTATACAGCTAGAACAACCATCCTTAGGTATTTTTTTTGTAAAGCATCATAGCATCCTAGCATCCATCTAGATATCTTGTTCCATAAGCACATTCTGGAAATATTCCTCTCAAATAGGTGATGCAGGATACTGACACTGCTAGGAGCCTCTTCACTAACACTAAAGACTGCTGCTCTGTTGATATCTTACTGGGAAACACCAATGCACTCATGGAAGTCCTCTGTAATTGTGCAGTGGCCATCTTCTGATAAAGTCTTTTTCTTAATTCAACATTACGTCAGGTCCGACAGTGCGCCAGCCGCTGGGAAGCCTGGCACGGGGCGGCGCCTGGAAAACAGGATTTAAAAAATAATGAAAGGCACATGTCAAACATGGTGTCTACAACTGGTCATTTAGGAGAGAAAGTATACTGGAGAAAATACACACACACACACACACACACACACACACACACAATCACAGAGGTTTTTGAAGTCAATAAAAAAGAGATTGCAGAATCAATCCCCCTATATTTGCCGAACGTATTTCCAGCTCCAGTCTATGTGTACCCTTGTATCTTTACAATGTTGTGCTTCTTCCAGAGGTATCTGTATGAGTCTCATACAAATGTGAGGTATTCTCCAATTTGTGAAACAACATTACAAACACAACTAGTACCTGTCCAGATCGTACTCGAAATTTAAAACAGCTGTTCTGGAGAAATTTGAAAAGTTGACAAAATTCAGAAAACATCTACTTTAAGTTTATTTATTTATTTGGAGGGAGACAGACAGACAGACAGACATGGGAGGGGCAGACATAGAGGGAGAGAGAGAGAATCCCAAGCAGGCTCTGCATCATCAGCACAGAGCCTACTGCAGGGCTCAAACTCACAAACCATGAGATCATGACCTGAACTGAAACCAAGAGTCAAACACCCAACCAACTAAGCCACCCAGGCACCCAGAAAACATCTACTTTAAATATACCATATGTCTCTCTCAAAATAGGGTTTACAATCTTTATATTCATGCCATGAAGATAGTGTGGTTACTACTTGACATATGTAGAGATTGATTTAAAAGATTCCATATTTATGGATTCAAAACCACAAAAGAAGCTAAAAATTTCTCCCCTAAAGGATTAATGCATTTAGTAAGTATTATGAATTTACAAGAGCTTTGTTTTCTTCTATAAAAGGAGAATTATTTTTTAAGTTTTAAATTTAATTTCAGTTAGTTAACATACACAGTTACATTAGTTTCACGTGTACAACACAGTGATTCAACAGTTTCAAACATCACCCAGTGCTCGTAACAAGTGTACTCCTTAATTCCCGTTATCTATGTAGCCCCCTACCACCCCCCACCACCTCTGTTAACCATCAATTTGTTCCCTATAGCTAAAAGAGTCTGTTTCTTCTCTTTTTTCACTGTTTTTTTTAATGTTTGTTTATTTTTGAGAGAGAGACAGAGCGTGAGCGGGGGAAAGACAGAGAGAGAGAGAGGGAGACAGAATTCGAAACAAGATCCAGGATCTGAGCTGTCAGGATAGAGCCCCACACGGGGCTTAAACTCACGGACTGAGATCACGACCTAAGTCAATCACAACAAAGTAGGATGCTTAACCTACTGAGCAGTCCAGGCACCCCAAAAGTCTATTTCTTGGTTTGTCTCTCTCCTTTTCCTCTTTCTCCCTTGTTTTGTTTCTTAAATTCCACAAATGAGTGAAATCATATGGTATTTGTCTTTCTCTGACTGAATTATTCCATTTAGCATTATATTCTTTACCTCCATACGTGTTGTTGCAAATGAAAAGATTTCATTCTTTTTATGACTGACTAATATTTCATTGTATATATGCACTTCTTTATCCATTCATCAATTAATGGACACTTAGGCTGCTTCTATATCTTGACTATTGTAAACAATGCTGACATAAATATAGGGGTTACATATATCCCTTAGAACCAGTATTTTTCTATCTTTGGGGTAAATACCCAGTAGTGCAATTGCTGGATCATAAGATAGTTCTATTTTTAACATTTTGAGGAACTTCCAAACTGTTTTCCATAGTGCCAATACAAGTTTGCATTTCCATCAACAGTGTAAGAGGGTTCCTTTTTCTCTATATCCTTACTAACACCTGTTGTTGATTTTAGCCATTCTGACAGGTGTGAGGTGATATCTCATTGTAGTTTTCATTTGCATTTCCCTGATTTTAAGTGATGATGAAAATCTTTTCATGTGTCTGTTGGCCATTTGTATATCTTCTTTGGCGAAATGTTAGTTCATGTCTTCTACCTATTTTTTAACTGGATTATTTGTTTTGAGGGTGTTTGGTTTTATAAGTTCTTTATATATTTTGGATATTAACCCTTTATTGAGTATGTCATTTGCAAATATCTTCTCCCATTTGGTAGGTTGCCTTTTAGATTTGTTGTTTCCTTCACTATGCAGAAGCTTTTTTATTTTGATGTAGAGCCAGAAGTTTATTTTTGCCTTTGTTTCCCTTGTTTCATGGACCTATCCAGAAAAAAAAGTTTCTATGGCCAATGTCAGAGAAAATACTGCCTATGCACTCTTCTAGGATTTGTATGGGTTTGGGCCTCACATTAAGCCCTTAATCTACTTTTTTCATTTTTTAAGTTTATTTATTTTGAAAGGGAGGGAGGAGTAGGGGCAGAGACAGAAGGAGAGAAACTTCCAAGCAGGTTCAACATGGACACAGTGTAGAGCCCAACGTAGGTCTCAAACTCACAAACCATGAGCATGACCTGAACGAAAATCAAGAGTTGGATGCTTATCCAACTGAGCCACCTAGGCGCCCCTAGATCCTTAATCTAGTTTGAATTTATTTTTGTGTATGGGGTAAGAAAATGATCCAGTGTCATTCTTTTGTATGTAGCTCTCCAGTTTTCCCAAGACCATTTGTTGAAGAGGCCTTTTCCCATTGCACATATTTGCCTCTTTCTCAAAGATTAATTGACCATGTAATTGTGGGTTTATTTCTGGGTTTTCTGTTCTATACAACTGATCTATGTGTCTACTTTTATGTAAGTACCATACACTTTTTATTACTACAGCTTTGTAATATAAGTTGAAGTCCAGAATTATGATGCCTTCAGATTTGCTTTTCTTATTCATGGTTGCTTTGGCTGTTCAGCATCTTTTGTGGTTCCATACAAATTTTAGGTTTGTTCTAGTTCTATGAAAAATGTTGTTGGTATTTTGATAAGGACTTTATTGAATGTGTAGATTACTTTGGGTAGAATAGACATTTTAACAATATTTGCCAATCCATGAGCACAGAATGTCTTTCCATTTCTTTGTGTTTTCAACTTCTTTCATCAGTGCTTTATGGTTTTCAGAGTATAGGACCTTCACTTCTTTCATTAGGTTTATTCCTAGGTATTTATTTTTGGTGCAATTGTAAATGAGAATATTTTCTTAATTTCTCTTTCTGCGGCTTCATTATTGATGTATAAAAATGCAACAGATTACTGCACACTGATTTTGTATCCTGTAACTTTATTGAATTCATTTATCAGTTCTAGTATTGGTGAAATAGTTAACGGTTTCTATATACAGTATCATATCATCTGTAAATAGCGAAAGTTTTATTTTTTCCTTACCAATTTGGATGCCTTTCATTTCTTTTTGTTGTTTGATTGTTGTGGCTAGGACTTCCAGTACTATATTGAATAAAAGTGTTAAAAGTGGACATCCTTTTGTTACTGACCTTAAAGGGAAAGCTCTCATTTTTTCACCATTGAGTATAAATGGGAGCTGTGTGTTTTTCATAGAAGGCCTTTATTATGTTGAGGTATTTTCCCTCTACACCTATTTTGTTGAGGGATTTTACTATGAATGGATATTGTACTTTGCTAAGTGCTTTTTCTGCATCTATTGAAATGATCGTATGGTCTTACCCTTATCTTCCTGATGTGATTGTGTCACATTGATTGATTTATATATACTGAACCACCCTTGCATCCCAGGAATAAATCCAACCTGTAGTGAATGATTTTTTAAATGTATTGTTGAAATCAGTTTGCTAGTAGTTTGTTGAGGAATTTTGCATCTACGTTCAGCACGGATATTGACCTATACTTCTCTTTTTTTGTTGTGTCTTTATCTGGTTTGGGTCTCAGGGTAATGCTGGCTTCATATAATGATTTTGGAAGTTTTCCTTCCTCTTTTATTTTTGGAATAGTTTGAGAAGAATAGGTATTAAATCTTCTTTAAATGTTTCAGAGAATTCATCTGTGAAGCCATCTGGCACTGGACTTTTGTTTGTTGGGAGTTTTTTTTTTTTATTACTGATTCAATTTCTTTGCTGGTTATCAATCTGTTCAAATTTTCCATTTCTCCCTATTTCAGTTTTGATATTTTATGTTTCTAAGAATTTATCTATTTCATCTAGATTGTCTAGTTTGTTGACATATGGTTTTGCATAATAATCTCTTAAAATTGTTTGTATTTCTATGGTATTTACTGTTCTATCTCCTCTCTCATTTGTGATTTTATTTATTTGAGTCCTTTCTCTTTTTTTCTTGATAAGTCTGACTAGAGGTTTATCAATTTTATTGATTTTCTTCCAAAGAAATAGCTCCTGGTTCATTGATCTGTTCTGTTGTTCCTTTAGTTTCTATATCATTTATTTCTGCTCTAATAGTCGCTATTTCCCTCCTCCTGCTGGTTTTAGGTGTTGTTTGTTGTTCTGTTCTTTTTCTAGCTCCCTTAGGTGTAAGGTCAGGTTGTCTGACATTTTTTCTGGCTTCATGATGTAAGGCCTGTATTGCTAAAAACTTTTCTTTTAGAAGGGAATGCACTTTGCTGAATCCCAAAGATTTTGGACCATTGTGTTCTCATTTGTTTCCTAGTACTTTCTTATCTCTTATTTCCTGGTTGGCCTATTCATTTTTTAGTAGCATGCTATTTAACTTCCATGTGTTTGCACTCTTTCCAAATTTTCTTATGATTGATTTCCAGTTTCATAGTGTTGTGGTCAGAAAATATACACAGTATGATTTCAGTCTTTTTATACTTGCCAAGGCCTGATTTATGACCTAATATGTGATCTGTTCTGAAGAATGTTCCACATACACTTGAAAAGAAAGTGTATTTCTGCTGTTTTGGGGTAAAATGTTCTGAATATGTGTGTTAAACCCAACTGGTTGAGTGTGCCATCCAGTGTGTTTCCTTGTTAATTTTCTATCTATATGATCTGTCCATTGATGTGAGTGGGGGGTGTTAAAGTCTGCTATTATTACTGTATTACTATTGATTAGTTTCTTTGTGTTTGTTATAA